ATTCGTCTTGCTATTGGCAAGAACTTCGACAAGCGGATCTGCCTGATGACCTAGCGATGTTGTCGTTTTGATCATACAGTTTACATATATGACTTCCACTGCGATGATTAGCAATCTAGTGATGTGTACATTCTGTTCACCCATGAATGCGCTCTGGATCTTCAACGAATAAGCTTTCCATGCAGCGTTTTTAGAAATTTCTGCCTAAACTGACTCGTCGTGTTCACTTGCCGTTGCGCTATTGAAAAGCTAACAATCCGCTTCGCAGCTGTTGTTGTTTTTTATTTGCGCAATGTAATGGAGCTCTGATGGCATCCAGGAGATTTTTGAAGTTCCATGCTCTTATCCAAACCTCTGCGAAACTTTCACGAAAACACGGTTAGCATCACTAACACATCGCGTATCCTTGCAAGCAACCAGAACAACCTACAACCAACGCCAAACAAAACTAATAACGGAACCTACATTCGTCATTCCGATGTCTGCAGACATCGCACGCATGAAGAACAATTTCGCGTGTCAGCCTCCTCGTGGTTTTGCTGAAAGTGTGACACATCCGTTTCCGAAAGGTACATGGGTGGCTTTTCGTTATTTCCGTAAACCCTCCAACTCACAAATTATCTTTTACCGGAGGGCCCACCGAGAGTTCACCTAGAGATGATCAATTCTCTGACCAAGAAACGAGCAGATCGGCTTTGTTTTTTAGCTAAGAGTTATAAATTGTTCTTCCATGTTCTGATGGGAGGTTTTGTGTCTTTACTGTATATCAACCACCTAGATTTGTTTTGTCCCTGATCGTCGGTGTTTCTGTGATCACCTTCTTTAATAGAATTCTCCTTGATCGATCAAATATAATATCGTTATTCCATGTATCCAATTCGACTCCGTGTGACTTCACACAGTTCACAACACATCTGCTAAGTCACTCAAACGATAACTGCTGCTGCGGTTACGTATAGGATATGTACCACTGCCATACATCAAAATATAGGTACATGTTTTAACGGATGTCACTGATATGGCCAAATTCTGGCTGGCGGATGCATCTTTCTGACAGAATATCACTAGTTGCGATTTTGTCCGCTTTTGCAACTTGCCGTTCTGATGCTGCAAAAGTGCATAGTCAGGAACTGCTACAAAAATTCCTGTGTGAGCTTTCTCAATATTCTACTTCTCGTCCAGCATCTTCTTCTGTCGTTAACACGACCGACGGAAAAGGTTCGCGGTCGCATTTTATGTTGCCTTTCGTGTGTACTTTCTCTCTGTAGCTTTCAGATTTATATATCAGAGGTCATTGTTTTTGACTTTGTTTTTCGTATATGTGATCATGAAAGCCTTTTGCTGGTATGAGACGAGTTTCTACAAATGTGATTTCAGTTGTTCGCAGCCCTTTCGTCTTAGGTGCCACCAACATATGATCTTTGATTTAATGTTCATCATTGTAGCAAAATCTTCTGCTTGGCAATCTGGATGAGTGTCACTCTGTTGGACTGACTGCAGCAAAGCGTTGTAACTTGTTCAGCTATTTTATTCATGTCAGGACCTATCCCGTACTTGTCGTGAAGGGCTACACTCTTTTGTGACTATATTTCCTCTCAGTGTTCTTTTCCTGATGTATTCCGAACAAGGAATATGTTATCCTCTGCCAGTCTAGCCCTTTCGTTGAAGGCTAATGACTCGATTGATGTAAGCGCCAGAGGTATCTTGCGTTAATAGGCCATCAGACCCCAGCAATCTTTCCAAGTTTGTTGAAATGGTGTTCAAGACCGTTTGAGTCCATCGGGACAGTTGATTGAATGTATTGCTTTGCTTTCTTTCCACAATATGTCACCTGAAGATAATCCTCTTTATAACCGTCTTGGTGCCAGTTTTACTCTAGTTGTTTCCAATCTCAGCGAGAAACATTAGTCCCCATTACTGCTGTATTTAATCATGCGTCATACATTATCTGCGAACCACGCGTATAAGCATTTCCGCAAATGCACGATGAGATACAGTCCATGCCAATCTCGCACATTCACGTGCTTCGTGTTAACCGACAGTTAGGATGCAGACCGAGTTATCATTACTGCTCCACTTAATCACCAAAGTTCGGGTCATCGGAGATGTGCTCATCGTCATTTTCCTGACAGACGATCTATGCAGCTCTTCAACTTTGACCCATATGTTCAAGGATTCAGGTTTGTTGTCATCGTATTTGTTCATGCATGGATACTTTTCAATCGAGAGAACCATTAAGTTCATCAACATCAATGTCGACTTCTGAATTCTTTAGCCCACGCAGAAGTTGGTGGATATAATGTTAATCCACAATGCTTTCAAATGTCAGCTTTTGTTCTGTGCACGGAATATGCGTGAATTCCACATCTTTCCTTTCATTTATATTTGTCCTGCCGTATGGATCCGAAGACACCCACTCTCCATTCTATTCTTCTTTATGCGCCCGATGTCAGCCATATGTTGACAAATGCTTTTAGCTCGAAGTTTAGTTGTATGTGAAATCCTCCGAGCATCAGCGACGACCAGGTCTGGTTCAAGAGATGATTTCGTGTTTTGGAATATCCCATTGGAGCAATTTGCCGTGCAGTACAGTTGTTTCATCGATAAGTCATAATAATTAATTAGTTATATTTTTGCTCAAGATGAATATCTACAGCTAAGTCTTCGGGCACCTCGCTTCAATGGGCTGTCTCCAGGTGGTGTTCGGATAATCACTTGTGATACTACATTGACACTACACTGGCTGGGAGTTAGTGACAGCTACAAGGTTATGGCGATGAAAGAGCCCTTAAGGCTGCATCACTCGGCCCTGAATTTACTGGTTCGTGTTGACGTCTTGGAGTCTAGTTATTCAAACTAAACAAATTTCATGTGCGGCGATCTTGAAATGCCAGATGGGCGCACATCCTTTTAGTGTTTTCTAAGTGGTCATAACTGGCCGATTCTCCACGTATCGCGAAATGTGTATTTAGACACCAAAATTATGGTTCTACGCGTCTTGGAGTCTAGTTATTTCAAAATAAACAAAATTTCACTGACGCGCGCATCTTGAAATCCATTATGGCCGCCATCCTATGTTCTCATAAGTGTGATAAATTTGGGTTCTTCTGCACTAGTCGAAAATGTGGGGTACTAGCCACCGCACCATTATGTACTCTACGACGCTCTGGGAGTCCAGATATGTTCAGAGAAGAAATCCACTTGTTCGCTGGACTGGTCATTTTTGGCATTTCAAAAGATGGCCGCACACAATACGCAACAAGTCAACCTGGAAAACTACCCACGTGAAACTACCAAGTTATCTCTAGAAATTGAGTATTTACAGCGTTTCCAGCCTTACTCCAAAAAGTTTCTAGAGCTCTCTTTTATTTTAGCTCTTTTATGAAATTGCCCCTGAACTAATAATAATTTGACGCACCCGCGCCGCGAATCTGCGCACGCACGAAACGATAACAACACACACGACACACACACACACAACAATAGCACACACACACACACACACCACAACACACACACACACACACACACACACACACACACACACACACACACACACACACAACACACACAACACACCACACAGCACACACACGACGCACCACAACCACACACGCACCAAACAGAACAAACAACAAACAACAATACCACACACACCAGCACACACACCACCACACACACACACGTACAGCACACGCATGCCATACATTACATGCACACACATGCCAAATTTGAAACTCGTACAGTTTTTTCACGCTGCCGTAGGCATCCGTAGTAGTGGGGGGGGGGGACTGCCGGGGTATATGCCCCCCTCAAAATTTTGAAATATTTAAGCCCAATTTTCCTTGCCCAATCTGAGGCATATGGGCCATATTCTCTGTCTGATGGACACTTATATCGTTCAAGCCATAGTACATGCAAGCCGCTATCATGTTAGGATTCAAAACACTTTTCATGACTTTTCACGAGTAGCGTACACAGTTAGGTTACTACTAGTGAATAATACATGTCATTAAAACACAATGTAGAATTGCACGTGTTTTTTGTATGTTTGCAACCATACTTTTTAGCTATTTGTGAGTCCTGGAAACATTTTCTTGGAAGAGTTTATTTGATCATGGGTCTGCGCCCTCAAAAGGCCCACATTAATTGTGTTCAACTAATCCGTAACTCTCACTTCTGCTGTTAATCGACATGACAATGCTCTTATCTGCTGCAAGAAGCTTGATATACTGGGGTGACTAGATTAATTCCATGACCCGCATATGCCATATGCGTTGAGAGGACTAATTATTGCTCTGGCCACGTCACTCCTTCCTGCCGCTGCACCCACTTGAAAGTACTGTTTCTTGCTACCATGCAATAGCCATGATTAACACCGAAATTCTGTACTGTTCTGAGCTATTACAAGTGTACTACATAACATTACAAAAAACTCATTCTCATGATATATGCTGAAATTGAAACAATCACATTTCTTCTTTTTTCTTCTTCTTCCTTTCCTTTTTCTGATTTTTTTCTCTCTTTTTTTGATCTCAGCGGGGATATTTAGTAAGGCCATCCCCCACCTTCGATAGAGCGGCGGGGGATTGGCGCACTCCTCCCCATCCCCCCGGGATTTACGCCCCTAGCTGCTACCATGCAGCTATCATCTGCTCGTCTCAGTGTGAAGCCTGCACACTGCAATATTATAAAGAGCTAAATACATGATATTATTTATTAAGTAGCTGCGTGCCACCACCGTGTGCGCAAAACCTCTTCTCCCATAGAATTTATAGTTACAATAGAGTTTTTACGTGGTGGTACAGTTAATATACCCTTATTAAATCAATACTGTGTAAGTCCGCCACCTTTAACTAAGTAGAACCATACCGACGGTTATAATTGTTACGTTGCGAATATAATTTGAAATAATCTGCATTGCGTGAGACTAGTGTAATACGTGTTTGTACTAAATTGCTGCCTTGTGCAAAGAAATGAGTTTGTACATCACTTCCTAGCGAATTCATGTTGAGTACATGTTGAAACACAGGGGTTAACAAAATGGCGAATAAATTAAAGAAGTGTTTATCTTTAAGTTTAATTTTAAGGTTAATTTTAAAGTTATCTTTAACAATGAAATTCATACAAATGAATAGACGTTTAACACGGTTGAAAAATACATTAAATTTAAAACTACGTTCTTTGACATTCGTATGACATGCGTGCGTCATTACCATGCAGAGAAAAGCTTGATATAAAGTTCAGTGTGCTCCAGTAAGTTAACAACCAGAAACTTTGGCAAACATTATACGGTTTACATATTACGGTTTATCCGAATCGCAATTTCTATATCACATTCTGCTTTCAATGAGAAAATACAAGACTGAAATGAAGTTGTGATGAAATGAAGACTGAAGTTTGAATATTATTAAGTCACCAACTGTTACTGCATGGTTTTCTTATATTATTCATCCAAAGTGATGTTAACAGGGAGCCAGCCTGTCACAGCATAAATAAACTGTAAGCTTTAATATCAATTGTGTCAGATGCATGCAATGATAGTCGATTAAAACTATTTTTCTTTGTATGTGAACAAAACTTTAATTAAGCCAATTCCGCATTTTGACTGAACATCAAGTTCAAGTTCAAGTTCAAGTTCAAGTAAAATTTATTTTCATAGGTATATAATGAACATTATTAACATAAGCTAAGAGCTTTTGCACCGATATCAAACAAGAGTAAATAGATAGTGATTAAAACATGATAAAAACTGCGTAACTGCATGCAGTGTTACTATCATATAATGGCCGAATCTTCAACTACGCCATAAAGAGAACCGACTCAGCCTTCTCAAAAAAATTATTATAAATGATCGGTAACTGTGCTTCCACTGGAAAGCGAAATTCAAATCCGCCCCCTAACCCCCACCTCGCTCACGCTACAGCACATACACACATATATATATATAACACACGCTCGCTGCCAGTGAATAAATTCTGATATACTTATACTATATATATATAGTCTGATCAAGTAGCCTCCCCCAATGAAGCGTTCTTAAAGCTTTCACTATGGCTCGTGTGATTACTCAAATTAGTTTACGGTTATTTTATAGCATTAGACATGCACTTGGATATAGTATTCGTCATAGTATTATTAGTCCCTACAACAGGAACAAAGCCACTGCACAGCTACAGGTGTATGCGACTTTTCGTCTTGGTGCTATTCTTGTCTACATCCATACACCTCCATGCGGAAGCCACCCGTGTAAACAGAACTTATCTCCGAATAGATGGTTTTCACGGTGATGCGTAGATATCTGGCAGTGAAGTTCAGCTGCTGATGAACATGCGTATAGAAATCTGTGTTTCCTGTCAGCAACTGTAACAATTCAAAAATAATCAGCCCCGCTGTTACTTACCTATTGGGTGTATCGTAAAGGTTTATGCTGCTAATCCTAATACTAATCGAAACTATGATCATTATCTAGTGTTCTGTACAGTCGCACTTTCTTGTATGTATCACGAACTACTACGTGAACGCGCGCACACACGCATGCATGCTCTTACGCATGCACCTAACACACACAACACACACACATCAGATGGATTACGTTTGATTGGTTTTCATTGATTCAGTCCAGGTGATGTTGTCAAGTGAGAATGCCAGTATGTATTTCACGACCCATTTCTTGTATACACATTCGCATCCCTAAAAGTATTGTGAAGATTAAATATTGCGTGACTTAATGTGCCATTTTTGAGGTACATTGTACGTTACAAATTTATTCACCTGACAACTTGTATGAACAACGTATAGAATGTATAGAAACAAGAAATAAATATAAATAAAATAACAATGTAATTGCATGGCCTGGAAAATTATAAATAATTATATGAAATATGTAAAATAACAACGCAATAAGCTAATGGTGCATTGAATTAGGAGAAGTGACAGTGTCAATGCTATAATCACTTCTATTATACTACGTATAATAACTTTTAGCAGATAGAGGACGGTTGTCATCTATATTTTCCAGCCATAAATCAGCGTGCATACGCCTCACCTGTGTGGTTATTCTAACTAACTGTGTCTCCGTCCCTAGGTCTATGTGCATGTTATATCCAAGACCTGGTTGCCATGAGCTTTGTGCGTCAAGGCGGGCCTTGTATGGTGCCGTGTTTGTATCCGGCCAAATGTCCCCGGTTATGGCACTATTTGGTATGGTTTTGTCAATCATGCCCAGTGGTGCACCTTTATCTACCTATACAGACACACCAAGTGATTGAAGAGTTACAGTAGAAAACTAGAAGTAGTCGCTTTCAGGCATTATTCTGCCCAATGATTAATTTACAGCTCTATAAACCCTTATAGATAAAGTCAGTTGTTTTAACCACCTATGATTATGTGTACACATTATACAGTTGATTTTCGTTCATTCGACGATTTAATACAGCATTATTATTATTATTATTATTATTATTAGTTCGCCTGTGTTAGTGCTTTTACAGTATAAGGGAAGCACTGTTGAGGTGTGTGTGTGTGTGTGCGTGCGTGCGTGCGTGCGTGCGTGCGTGTGTGTAGCACTTATTGAGGCGTACCAGATAGACAAAGTCCCAACCAATGGAGTCGACCAATTTAGGTGTGGCTCTGTACCAGTCTTCAGCGAGCTTCTTGCACTCTTTGGTCTCTTGTCTGTAGTTGACGGAGAAGCAGTCAGGGTCTTTCACGCATGCTGCCGCGCACATCAGTCCGCTACGGCTGGAAATACGTCAACCACGTTGCACGTAGGCGTTTGTGTAACATAGCCCTGGGCAGGGAATACAATACGTACCCATGTGGCTCATGTGGGATATTTTATACACTCATAACTGGAATCTGTATTTGGGGGGGGGGGGGTAAATACATCAACCAAATTTGTTTACATGTTGCTGCTAATCACCATACGCATCTAAAAATAAAGATTTAATACCGTTGTGAATTTACTTTATATTATACTGATTATACTATTTAATTATACTGATTTAATACCGATCTAAACCCGTTGTGAAACGTAGTCGTGGGCAGTAAATATATCCTGGTGAGCGTGACTGCAGATTTAAAAAAAAGCCAGCTGTTTTTCTAGTTGATTTAAGTTCAGTATAGTTCAGACAGTTCAGACAAGTTAGGTCTTGTCAAATGCTTTAATGGAACCCATAATGAAAAGTGGCAAAGTTGACATTTATAACCCTATAATTGCTCTATGCGCATTAGGGTGTTCGAGTACATCACGTATTAATGAAATAGAGAAAAAAAGTTAGACTCGGCATGGGATATTTTTCTACAAACCTTAAGCTTGATGACAAGGGATTTGCCATCTCTTTGTCTTTGATCGTTTTCAGATGATAATCGGCACTTGCCCTTAGCGTATTCTCGTCCCAGTCCTGACAAGTTGTTGCAGTAACTGTTCTCAGGCAGAACGCGAGCAGCCACAGAAATACAGCCACCATCGTGACACATATACAAGGCACTAACTAAATTTAAAACTATACCAAGCCGTGACATAACCTAGATAGACGTGGTCGTCATAGCAGCATTATAAACACTGCATGCACGATTGATTATGATTAACAAATGCAAACGTCAAACACCAAACACTCAACAAATGCAACGCCACACACAAACTGCAAATTCCGCACAACACAAATGCAAAGCCACAACACAATGCAAAATCTCCTCGCCCGCGCCCGGCCTGTACTGTCTGTACTGGGCAGCATGTATACAGCTGTTAAAGCCCCCCCCTTCCGCTACACACGCTATCGACGCTGATATGGCCGGTAGGAAATGTATGTTATCCTATCATAATCTCGCGAACTTATAATGAGTTACGTTTCTAGAACTTCTACGATGGCATGATGATACATGTCTTAGCAATAATCTCTGTGGTGTCGAGTTTATTGACGCACGATTAGCCTAATTAATTAGCTGTTATTCACCGGCACGCGTTGCTCTTTCTAACACGCTTTCAATAAACTCGATCTTCACAGAAGATCATAGCTATTAGCGTTACCGCGCGTATGATTGAACTGTTGATACGGGAGGAGGTCGCGGGAGGAGGGGAGAACGTGGGGCGAGGTGGGGAGGAGGAATGATGAGGAGAGGAAGGAGGAGGAGGAGGAGGAGGAGAGGGGTGGAGGAGGAGGAGGAAGGAGGAGGGAAGGAGAGGAGGAGGAGGAGGAGGGAGGAGGAAAGGAGGAGGGAGGAGGAGAAGGAGGGGGAAGAGTGAGGAGAGATAGCGAGCCACCATCACCAGGCCCGCCTTGAGCCACGGCTCATGGAACCAGGTCTTGGATATAACATGCAATAGACTAGGGACGAGACACCAGTTAGTAGGTAGAGAAGTCAGAAGAGAGCGAGGCAGGCCAGGCTGAGGCGTAGCAGCACGCTGATTTGAATGGCTAGGCAAAATATAGAATGACAACGGTACGAGGGAGGAGAAGAGAGAGAGGAGGAGAGGAGAGGAGAGGAGGGTGGTGGGAGGCGGGAGACAGGAGGAGGGTGCAGGCCACAGGAGGAGGAGGAGGTGAGTTTGAACGAGAAAGATAGGCACGGAGATCAGGAAGCAAGCAAGATAGAAAGAGCGAGGAGGAAGAGGAGAGCAGACGCAACAGAGGGCCGCGAAGAATGGAGGAAGAGGAGGAGACAGAAATGTAAAGAGATGAGGTAGGACCGAGAGAGGAGACGGAGACGAGGGGCGGGAGCGAGCCGCAAAGAGGAGTGCAGAAAGGATATCATTTTTTCTGGCCATGATCTATACATCATCCTATCATCACCTCAAATCTATACATGATCGGTGACAGCAAGGGTCCTAGCCATTCGCCATCAATCACTCTCTACCTGATTTGAGCCACAGGCTCTCTACCATTTCAATAGTCACAATCTAACTTGACCTTGAGCCAAACAGGTCCAATATATGACATCCATATCACTCTACTTCCCACCAACACAAACTGCAACGCCACACACACAAGTTGCAGAATTCGTCGCACTCTAGACAGACCCGCCGGTCCTACCATTGTCCTGCAATACTCACTTTCGGTTCTAACTGTTGAAGCCCAGGTCCTACCATCAAACTATCACTCTCTACTGATCCTCCTCTCGCAAGCCAGGGGTCCTACCATCCCATAATCCACTACTGTTTGAAGCCAAGCTTTCTAACATTTTCATATCACTATCTACTGACTGAAGCCAAGTTCCCTATCCGCTCTCTCAGTCTCTATCATTAAACCCTTGTCTTATACGTGATGAAGATTTTACGAATCTGAAACTTAACTCGTTCGCATCCATGTGATAGTAACACTGCAACTCATAGTCCGTTATACACGAGGGCCCCCACTAGCAGTCGCACTGATAATAGCCTTATCGGGCATTCTAATCACGTATTATTGGCGCGCGGAATAACAGCTGTAATCTGGATTAGGCTAATCGGTGGGTTCAAGTTAACTTCTCGGACTCACAGTGATCATTCTCTAAGACATGTCTCGCCATACACCGTATACTAGATGTTAGATTACTTATTATACCTAAACTCTATATAGTTCCTACAGTCGCATGAGATATGATATGGTAAATACACGCTTTTACATGGTCTTTAAGCACCTAACGGACACATACTCGTGGCTACTTAGTATGCTCTGTCTTAGCTATGTGTGTGTGACGCCGATATAGGATCTAATTCTTAGCTGCGTTAAATTCATTACACGTCCTAATTAATTAGACTAATCGCGGCGGTTCATGCCCATAGCTTAATTACATGCGCATCATGGTGTCAGAGTACGTAATTTAACATTGCGCCGACACTCACTTGGAGGATTATTGCTAGATAGAACTGCATTAAGCCTCCTGCATTAATTGCATCACTTGTAGAATTTTTAGAAACGTAACTCATATAGTCTGCGAGGATATGATAGGTAAATACACTTTCCTACGGCCACTATAGCGTGATAGCTGGGTTACGGAAGGGGGGGGGCTTACTGCTGTACTACAATGCGCCCAGTACGACAGTACAGGCGGGCCAGCGGCAGGAGATTTTGCATCTTGTGTTGTGGCGTTTGCAATTTTGGTTTGTTGGGAGCATTTGTGTGTGGCGTTTGCATGTGTGTGACTGGCATTTGTGTTGCAGGGGGATTTGCGATTTGTGTTGCTGGGGTTTGTATTTGTGTCGGGTGTTTTGTATTTGTGTTGGTGGGATTTGTAATTGGTGGGGGTGAGCTTCTGCGCCACCGTTGATGTTAACAGGGAGCCAGCCTGTCACAGCATAAATAAACTGTAAGCTTTAATATCAATTGTGTCAGATGCATGCAATGATAGTCGATTACAACTAGTTTTCTTTGTATGTGAACAAAACTTTAATTAAGCCAATTCCGCATTTTGACTAAACATCAAGTTCAAGTTCAAGTTCAAGTTCAAGTAAAATTTATTTTCATAGGTATATAATGAACATTATTAACCTAAGCTAAGAGCTTTTGCACCGATATCAAACAAGAGTAAATAACTGCGTAACTGCAGTGTTACTATCACATAATGGCCGAATCTTCAACTACGCCATAAAGAGAACCGACTCAGCCTTCTCAACAAAATTCTTATAAATGATCGGTAACTGTGCTTCCACTGGAAAGCGAAATTCAAATCCGCCCCCTAACCCCCACCTCGCTCACGCTACAGCACATACACATATATATATAACACACGCTCGCTGCCATGAATAAATTCTGATATACTTATACTATATATATTTTCTGATCAAGTAGCCTCCCCCAATGAAGCGTTCTTAAAGCTTTCACTATGGCTCGTGTGATTACTCAAATTAGTTTACGGTTATTTTATAGCATTAGACATGCACTTGGATATAGTATTCGTCATAGTATTTCCCTACAACAGGAACAAAGCCACTGCACAGCTACAGGTGTATGCGACTTTTCGTCTTGGTGCTATTCTTGTCTACATCCATACACCTCCATGCGGAAGCCACCCCTGTATACAGAACTTGTCTCCGTATAGATTTTTTCCACGGTGATGCGTAGATATCTGGCAGTGAAGTTCAGCTGCTGATGAACATGCGTATAGATATCTGTGTTTCCTTTCAGCAACTGTAACAATTCAAAAATAATCAGCCCCGCTGTTACTTACCTATTGGGTGTATCGTAAAGGTTTATGCTGCTAATCCTAATACTAATCGAAACTCTAATCATTATCTAGTGTTCTGTACAGTCGCACTTTCTTGTATGTATCACGAACTACTACGTGAACGCGCGCACACACGCATGCTCTTACGCATGCACCTACACACACACACATGCAGAGTGGATTACGTTTGATTGGTTTTCCATGAATTCAGTCCAGGTGATGTTGTCAAGTGAGAATGCCAGTATGTATTTCACGACCCATTTCTTGTATACACATGATTCGCATCCCTAAAAGTATTGTGAAGATTAAATATTGCGTGACTTAATGTGCCATTTTTGAGGTACATTGTACGTTACAAATTTATTCACCTGACAACTTGTATGAACAACGTATAGAATGTATAGAAACAAGAAATAAATATAAATAAAATAACAATGTAATCGGCCTGGAAAATTATAAATAATTATATGAAATATGTAAAATAACAACGCAATAAGCTATGGTGCATTGAATTAGGAGAAGTGTGTCAATGCTATAATCACTTCTACTATACTACGTATCTATGGTATAATAGCTTTTAGCAGATAGAGGACTGTTTGATATCTATATTTTCCAGGCCATAAATCAGCGTGCATCCCGCGCATCACCTGTGTGTTTTATTCTAACGTAACTGTGGTCTCCGTCCCTAGGTCTAATGTGCAGTTATCTCCAAGACCTGGTTTGCCATGAGCTGGTGCGTCACCGGGCCGGCCTTGTATGGTTCCCCGTGTTGTATGCCGCCAAAATGTCCGCCCCCGGTTATGGCACTAATCTGATGGTTTTTGTCAATCATGCCCAGTGGTGAACCTTATATCTACCTATACAGACACCGCACCAAGTGATTGACCCGAGTTAACAGGTAGAAAACTCAGAAGTAGTCCGCTTTCAGGCATTATTCGCCCCCACATGATTAATTTACAGCTCTATAAACCCTTATAGATAAAGTCAGTTTGTTTTAACCACCTAATGATTATGCTGTACACATTTACAGTTGATTTTTCGTTCATCGAACGATTAATAGCAGCATTATTATTATTATTATTATTATTATTAGTTCGCCGTTTCGTGTTAGTGCTTTTACAGTATAAGGAAGCACTGTTGAGGTGCAGTGTGTATAGCACTTATTGAGGCGTACCAGATAGACAAAGTCCCAACCAATGGAGTCGACCATATCTTAGGGTGTGGCTCTGTACCCGTCCTCAGCGAGCTTTCTTGGGCACTCTTTTGGTCTCTATGTCTGTAGTTGAAGACGGAGAAGCAGTCCATGGTGGGGGCGGTGTGGGGGGTCTTTCACGCATGCTGCCCACACGCGCACAATCAGTCCGCTACGGTGGAATGACGTCAACCACGTTTGGCACGTATAGGCGTTTGTGGTAATAGCCCTGGGCAGGCGAATACATACGTACCCATGTGGCTCAATGTGGGATATTTTATAACACTCATAACTGGATCTTTATTTGGGGGGCGGGGGGGAAATACATCAACCAGAAAAATTTTTTTTTGTTTACATGTTGCTGCTAATACGCATCCGCATCTAAAAATAAAGATTTAATACCGTTGTGAATTACTTTATATTAATACTGATTATACTATTTAATTATACTGATTTAATAACCGGCGTATTAAAGCGCAGTTTTGCTGACAAACGTAGTCCGTGGGCAGTATATATATCTGGTGAGCGTGGACTGCAGATGTAAAAAAAGGCCGAGCTGTTTTCAGTTGGATTTAAGTTCAGCTATAGTTCAGACCAAGTTAGGTCTTGTCAAATGCTTTTAACTGAACCATAAATGAAAAGTGGCAAGTTGCATCATTTATAACGCATTAACTATAATGCTCTCACTGCGCATTAGGGGTGTTCGAGTACATCACGTAATTAATGAAATAGAGCACAAAAAAGGTTAAGTCAGCATGGGATATTTTTCTACAAACCTTAAGCTTGAATGACAGGAGATTGTGCCATACTCTTTGTCTTTGATCGGCTTTTTCAGATAATAATATCGATGGCACCTTGCCCTATGCGTAGTTCTGCCGAGTACCCAGTCCTGACGAAGGTTGATTGGCAGTAAACTGGTTCCGAGGCAGAAACCGACAGCAGTGACAGAAATACAGCCACCATCGTCGACACCATAACACAAGCCACAGCTTAACTCAATATAAAAATATCACCTGCCGTGACATAAAGTCGCAATGTGACGGTGGGCGTGCAATATGCAGCATTAAAAAAAACTGCATGCACGATTGATTATGATTGCTGTCAGACGGCAGCGAAAAAAATACACGGGAGACGGCGAGCGAGTTTAGCGTCGGACCGTCACTTTAAAGCGCTCTGGTAGACAACAATTACGAGAGCGAATTATGGAGGGGAGATACGAGGAAAAATCGCTCCCGCGGCACCCGGAGTGCCCGCAGCCCACCAGTTTTTGCTCAGGCACCAGTGCTCTGACGAAACTGCCGGTCCTCCTGACCGGCAGCTTTTTTTCCTTCATATTACGCTGAAAGTGACTAGCGTATCGCAACGGCAGTTTTGAGCGACAGACTTGTAAAGCCGGAGAACCGCAAAGAGAGTGTAACAACCGGTCGCTCAACGTAGAGCGGGGTATCCAAAACATCTAGAGCCGCATGAACTCCCTCAAGCATGATTCGGCGCACACGAACAAAAACTCGCGACAGTCTCAGAATCGATTGTGGCAGTCGCCGGATGTATGTGGCGAGGCCAAGGCTGTAGCTTCCATGCTGACGTAGTCAATCAGGATGCAGCTTGTAGAATCGCATGATTGTCCGCCGGCGTCCACGTCCGTGCACGTCCGGCCGTCCGTCCTCGTGCGTCGCGTCATACAGTTGGGCACAAATCTGTAACAGCAATTCGACGTACGGTACACGACTAATTCGGGACTCGGGGGGGGAATCGTGAAAAGGACTCGGATGACAAATTGGGGGTCAAGGGTCTAAGAGGTGAAGATTGTAAAGAGGGGGAATATTTCCCCCTTAACTTAAGATATGAGGAGGAAAATACGGAATCGCGGCAACATATCTTGACTCTATGTCTTTAATATCACGGTGTATGTGTGATGGGCAGGAAACCCATCCCAGTGCGAAATTGTGGGGGTCACAGGTCAAAGGGCAGGGAGGGAAAGGTCAGATATCAGACATTTTCTGAGGACATAGCCTAATGGACAGAGTGAAAAACTTTTTTGTTTCAGCGCTGACCTACCATTTTTATCACTTTATTGAAAGGACCATGAAATGTGCTTTCCACTGACCTGCGAAGAGTAAGTGTCTGATAACCTTTTGACCCTCAAGAGGAGGGTTAAACATGGATTCCTGAACTGCCTCAATGACATCACAGTGTTGTCATGTTCATGGCACATCCATAATCTAGAAACCCAATAAGCCTGGATAGCCGAACGCCTACAGCACAGGCGTCACGGCTCAAAGGTCCTTGGATCGAATCCCATCAGATTTTTTATTATTTACCTGTTTTCTGGATTTTTCTATCTTTATCCATTTAACTATTTTTTTCCAATTAACTTAAATATTTACATGATTTATTTACAACAATTTAATAACAACAAATAATTTTTACAACAATTAATTATTTTTAATAATAGGGTTAGGGTTAGGGTCACAAATTCACAATGCACCATAAAACAGGAGTTTCAGGCACGCGATTTGTATCAACCAATGGGATTTGGGAGGTATGCAGAATGCAGAAGGTTGATGAAATGATGTGTACGCAACTGCGTATCTGCGCCTAACAAAGGTGTCACTACGCACGACCTAAATGTTACGTTTATAACCGTAGCAACAGACCGCAGAGGAGCCCAGACGCTCTGCGGCTCTTGTTACGTGGTGGTAGAGTTAATATACCCTTATTAAATCAATACTGTGTAAGTCAGCCACCTTTAACTAAGTAGAACCATTACGCGGTTATTTAGTACGTTTTGCGAATATAATTGCAAATAATTCTGATGCGTGAGACTTGTGAACGTGTTTGTACTAAATTGCTGCTGTGATAAGAATGAGTTTGTATCCATTCCTAGCGAATTCATGTTGAGTACATGTTGAAACACAGGGGTTAACAAAATGGCGAATAAATTAAAGAAGTGTTAGGGTCTTTAAGTTTTCACTCCCAATTTCGCATTTACGGTATTTAACGAAATCGACATGCCAGTGTGGCCATGCATATGGCTGCAGAAAATTATTTTTTAACGTTTTGAAATTCATGAGAAGTAGGAAAAGTATCACGTGATTCGTGTCGAGCAAATATAGATTTTTAATTGTCTTTAAACACGGAACGTGGCCATTTATCGGTTTACGAAAAATATGACGTTTATAGCATGTTTGCTCGTTTTCTTTCAGCCGCGCAGAAATCAGGAAGCTAACAGAGTGCTTCACAAGGTTGTTCATGGATCCTCACAGCAAGGTAAGAAGAAGGCTTGCTGAGACAATGCTATGGAACTACTTGCTAAAAAAAAACATTTCTGGGTTACTTATTGACCGCATCAACTTGGCTCTTTTCATAATTACGTGTGGCTATATATCTGACGTGTCATGGTCATTGCCAGTTATAACTTCGCACACTAAACTATTGTTTATTAATAAGTTGTATCTATATATATATATGTATTATATTTGAAGATATACAGGTTTCTGTGGACACAGAATCACGTTGAGAACTGAATCTTGACGTGAGATTG